GCTCTGATAATGTCCCAAACACTCTTTCTGATATTGGGTTTCTACTTTTCAGAGTCCATGATTCTGTATAGAGAATCACCATCACATACTACAGTTTACACAGGATGATTTGAGAAATAACCACTAGTGTTCTGTTTAGCCTCGTAATAGACTAGGTATATATAATATATCACAAAATGATACATGGATATTCCAGCAAAACTATCAGAGCATGTGAATTTGGAATCTTAAAACAAAAATATTTTGTGGTAGTGCTTGCTTGTGGTTATAAATGGCTCCAGTCTCTCCCAAAGTTGCAATTTAATTGCCCCAAAGCTCTGAATAGCTTGTCTCATAAGGCCTACTGAATCATAAGTATAACTTCCTGAAAAATACTATGTCTCCACACTCGCAGAGCATCTGCAGCTCCCAACTGAAACCCTTTCTCACTCTTAAACCAAAACAGAATTGACAGAAATGATTTTCCTTTTCTCTCTTCCCCCCAACTAAACTCTAAGCTTTACATGAAGGCAAAATCGTATCTGCTTTTGCTTATCACTGTATCTCTGGCACCCAAGGGGATAGTCCATGGTATATAATAGGTGATTAATAAATCTCTGCTTCAAAAATGAAAAATGAATCCATCATAAATGTTAACAGAGAAAAGAGCACCTTACTTTATGGGTTTATTGCTTTAGAAGGATTTTTTTAAAAGCAGTAGTTTCTGTTCCGGGGGGTTATTTTGATAATCTAGCATAAAGATAATCAAATATGTCAATCAATGCATGATTTTATTTCTCCATGTAGACTGTATGCCTGTGGAGCATCAGTAGTAACTCTTTCATTCTCAGGCCTAAAACATAACTATGAAGAGTTAATTTGCTACCAGAAAAGAAAAACTGATGCTTCAAAATAAAATTACTAATACATTTTCTTTTTATTGAATCATCTATAGCACTGATCACCAGCCCTCCTTCCATTAACTTTAATAATCAGAAGTTAACCCAAGAGTGAAATTCCTTCAACTAGAGGATCATGAATTACCCACGATATCACAAGAGGATATATGGAGAAAACTACTAAAGATTTTTTTTTAAAGTTAACATCACAATACAAAAGAAAGTATTACAAGATAAGTATGTGGAATTTTTTTTTGTAAAATATTTTACTTTTGAAAAAAAATGTCAAAACAATTTCCTCAAATGATACAAAGTGCTTCACTGCAAAATATTTTACTAACATCTGGCACACTATGGTCTATAATGTAAAAATGGACATATCTGCTCCACTGAACACACCATAGGAGTCTGCGAATACTAAAGTAATATTCAAGTACTTTGTAAACTACATCTGTAGAAACTAATGATGTATTGTTATAAATATTAAGCATGTCCTTGACACATGCTTATAAATAGTAATAACTTCATTTGCTTACAGACTAATACAGATGTACTTTTTAATGACTCAAATACCATAAGTGGCTCTGCCATCAGTTTTGTGATTTTCCAAAAACAGTGAACAATTCTTAACATAGTTCTGAATGAAATCTGAAATCTTCCCTAGATATACACATGTGCTAGGCCACTGTGAATTAAATGGCTTCCCTGTATCCATGTCCTTTGCCCTGTAACTTGGCAGTCCCCTCCTACTCTTTATTCTGAATTTGGCAGCATGATTTTCTTTGGCAAGCTGTTCACAACTGTAATACAAGCATTAAAACAGATTTAAGTTATACACACAGATGACTGTAAACAGGTTTTCCCACATATAAATGTCTGGAGAAACATTCAAAGCATGTGGAATGTAGATTACTTCTGTTCGACACTCTGTGAGTCATCCAACAACCACTGCACTTACCTGGTTAAGCCCGTAATACCCCAATCAAGAACCAAATATGCCCCTCAGAACACTAAGCCCCCTGGAGGGAGTAGAAGATCCCAGACTGCTGTCAGTCAATTTACTCTCTTTTAACTGGTGATGCACTCCTCTTCAGGCATGACCCATTCATGCACAAGATGTATGACAGTAGTGTCTTTTTAATCCAAAATATACGTGATTGAGTATGGTCCTTTCCAAACTACTGACAGAAGATACACAGAATATGGCAACATGTTTTGAAATGAAAAATTAATATTTGTATACTTTTTTCTATGCATGTTATACTTAAGACTTAAATGTTTAAATAAGATAAACTGATAATAAAGCACCTGCGTTTGAAGTCTATGAAGTTTTTGTGTTAACCATCCTGCACTTCATAATATCAATCCTCATCTTCTATGCATCTCTAAGTTTTTAAGATACTATTAATATTGTTCAGAATTAAATATACCTAGCCCAGTACTTTGGTTCTTAGTTGTTCTTAGGGACAGAAAGTATGTGTGTCTTCTTTAACATTTAAAAAGTTGGTATATTTTCTAACAGTATGAACTACAATAAATTTCCCTTTTTCTTTGTGCACTGTGTTTGTTCTGCCTTCAGTATCTTTTCCTGCCACAGGGTACATGGCTGGCTCAGTCGAAAGAGCCTGATCTCAGGGTCGTTCAGTTCAAGCCCCACACTGGGTATAGAGATTACTTATAAACAAACAAACAGACTTAAAAACAAATGAACCAGTATCTTCCTGCCAGCTTAAGTCCAGTTCTACTTCTATGAGATCTTCCCAATCCTCTCCTTTTCACCAACAAGTTGAGTCTCTCTTTCCGTATTACTTCTGAAACCTCTTATTCTTACCATTAATTATCTAACACACGCTACCACTGTTACATATCTGTCACCCCAATTAGATTTTAAGCTGTTAGCTAAGCCTATGAGAAATGCCTATAACTGCATCCGTAGCACCTAGCACAGAGACTGCCTTGGTGAGTGCTTTAAGTGGCCTAGCAATTTGCATGACTCTTTTTAGGATTAATATGCATGAACCCATTCCAGTCATCTCTAAGTTTATATTTTGTTTCTACTTTTTGATATGAGTTGCCTAAAATCAAGTATTTCCTTGTACATATTCTAAATTTATTTTGATATCAATCTTAATGACTGCCATATTTGACAACATGGTTGAACCTTGAGGACACTATGCTAAGTGAAATAAGCCAGTCACAGCAGGACAAAAAGTGTATGATTCCACCTACATGAGGTATCTAAAACAGTCAAATTCATAGAAGCAGAAAGCAGAATGGCAGTTGCCAGGGGCTCAGAAGGGGGAATGGGGAGTTGCTAGTTAGCGGGTATAAAGTTCACTTACACAAGATAAGTTCTAGAGACTTAATGTACAACACTGTCCCTCTATGTAAGAATACTGTATTGAGGGGCGCCTGGGTGGCTCAGTTGGTTGAGCGACTGCCTTCGGCTCAGGTCATGATCCCAGGGTCCTGGGATCAAGCCCCGCATCAGGCTCCCTGCTGGGCGGGAAGCCTGCTTCTCCCTCTCCCACTCCCCCCGCTTGTGCTCCCTCTCTCTCTCTCTGCAAATTAAATAAATAAAATCTTTAGAAGAAAAAAAATTTCATTAAAAAAAAAGAGAATACTGTATTGACATTTATAATTTTTTAAGAGAGGAGACCTTATGTTAAGTGTTCCTAACCAAAATTAAAAGTTCCTTCAATCTTAGTACTTGGAGACCAGTCTTCACTCAACCTTAGCTACTTCCTGACAGGTACAGAAGTAAAAAACATTAAGTTTTTACTTACTTCTCCAATGGATCCTTTTAAGTTCTACTACTCTGAATTTATCTACTATCATTAGATTTTTAATCTAAGAACAGAATAATGTTTATTTCTGATTCCATATTCTGATGTCCAAAATTTTGCATACTAGGCCAACATTCTAAGAGTGCAACTCAAAGTTTATACTACTGCTCTAATCCCAAACTTTATATATAAATAGTTCAAGTTGTATTTCAACTGGTAAATATATTATTCTATACTTACAGCCATTACAAATCTTCTGCCCTTTCCCCTAGCTTTAGATTTTCCGACATCAGTCCGGAACTTGATTATGCAAAATAATTTATCAGCAAAATAGCGTGCTCACTTCTCTATATCATGTATTAAAAATATTTCATAGTTTTTAATTTATACTTCTTCACTGTTTTAGAGCCAAAAACACATGTGCATAACAAGAAGGCAAGCAAGTTTAAGATATTACTCTCAAAATGTTAGGGAAGAAAGATAAGCAAATTGTAAAATGTTTACATATATCTTCTCAGGGTGAAAAGGATGAAAAAAAAATAAAATCTTAAAATAACTTTTTTTCTATTATATCAAAAATATGCAAGCAGAATGGTATAACTTAAGTAGTATTTCCTTTCCATGAAATAATGAAATACTGGTTATTTAATCAATTAGGATGATGGGCTCAATCTTATCCCAAAATGTCCACTTTTCTTCAGTTTTATAGTTTTTTCAATTAGATCACCACTCTTACCAACAGCATGGTAAAAACATAGAACTAAAAACAAGAAAGCAAACAAACAGAATGAAATTATTGGAAACCCATTAAAGCAGAATTAGAAGAAAATGCTCCTCTCCAAATTCTTATTGGGTTACCCTTAATGCTGGGCTGCCCCCAGCACTGCCAGCCTCCTTCCTACCCAGCACCTGCTCAAAACAAAGTTCAGCATATAATAAAAAGGCATGAGGGGACCTCAAGTAAAAGCTGATCACACAACGGCCTAACAGAAGTTCACTACAGTACCACAAAGTTAATTCTCTCTCTCTTTTGGCCTTTTAAAGCAAAGACTAACAGTTACTCCAATACTAGATGTCCTCCAAAAATGCCTTTTACGTTCAACGTTGATGAATTTTAGAGACATGTTTCACCTCAGAATAAAGGTATTTATTAGATATTTAGTAGCTATTAATTCTAAGATTCTAAGTACATTATTAAACGACTACATTCTAAAATATCTAAATATGGAATAGAGAGATAACTTTTTACACAGTGAAATTCACCATTCTAAACAACTTATTAAATCTTATTAAAATGACTGCCAACAAAAAAGTTAAAAATTGTAAAAACACTTACTTCATTTCCATGTTTTTGCAGGAATTCAATTTCCTGTTGTGTGAATGTTGTCATGGAGATAGATTTCACCCTGTGTGGTGGATTTAACCCTCTCCTAAAAGATAAAATATTTTACAAATTTACTATTATATACCTTAAAAATTACACATCAATGTAAAACATTTTTAACTAGCACATTTAAACGTGGAACAGTGTTCACTCTATAAAACTAAAAGTATTTAAAAATTATTTTAAACTATTAATCCCCACAATAGATATGTCAAGGTAAGTTAGGTTCACACTAAATACTACATTTGGGGCTCCTGGGTGGCTCAGGCGTTAAGCGTCTGCCTGCGGCTCAGGTCATGATCCCAGGGTCCTGGGATCGAGCCCCGCATCAGGCTCCCTGCTCCGCAGGAAGCCTGCTTCTCCCTCTCCCACTCCCCCTGCTTGTGTTCCCTCTCTCGCGGTGTCTCTCTGTCAAATAAATAAAATCTTAAAAAAAAATACATTTAAATATAAATTCAGGTAACTATCTAGTAAGGAACACATAGTACCTGTAACACATGAGCTTCTAGGAAATACAAATATTACTTTCCTGTGTTTCTAGTAGAAGGAGAAGACTATGTAAGGACTCCATGGTAAAGAATTCAAAAAGTAATTAACCACTTAAATATTTTCACATTTCCTAAGAAAATGACAATGATTTGTTAAGTCTGGAGCTATACAAATATTCTAATCAAACAGCCATTACCTTTAAGCTTGAGGCTGATCTGAAAACCGAAAACTAACCCAAGAAAACTAGAAATTATTAACCCAAAAGTCTCACCTCTCCTTCAATTAAAATAAAAATTTATAATAAAGGACATTTCAATCACATCAGAAGGCAGTAAGTGTTCAAGAAGAAACTGAAGAGACATGAGGAATTCGAGAAATACCTGGATACATGATTAAATGCCTTTGAAGTTCTTTTACAACCTTGAAGCCTTTTCTGTATAGATGGCCTTAAGCGAACTTTATATCTGTTTCTTGATGATGTTTACAATGCACATTAAAAACTGATAGACATGCACTCAGAGAAGAGTAAAAAAAACTATTTACACTTTGTCTAATTATCACAAAGTGGCCTACTCCACCACCCACAAAAATAAGGGTTAAATAATCTATGCAAAGTAACAATCTATGCAAAGCTTCATAAAATTATGTTTGAGTCATGTTCTCTGCCAAAGGCCTCATTTGGAATCCAAGTTCTAGAACAGATTATTAATACTTTTACATAATTTGTCATAGTCATCTTGCAGTCAGTCATCCATGCTGATTGAGAGATTTAACAACGACGTAAAATAATAAATGAACCAAAAGTCTTTTAAAAATAACCTGGAAACATTTCTGAATAATTAAATACGGTGTGTAATAATCCTAGAAATTCACAATATTATAATTCAACAATAAGGGAAATTCAGAATTAACAGAAGGTCCTCAATTATCATGTCCCACTCCTCCTCTCTCCCTGACAACTGTCAGAGATAGGCGGAACATCTTCCAAATCATGCTTTGAATTAGGGCAAAGCACTTTATCTGTTTCATTATTCTGAAGACGGAAAACGTTAAGTTGGGTTTTGTTGCTGTTTTGTTTTGTTTCAATTTTAAACTAACTCATTTACTTCTAGATCTTGGTTAAGTTATAAGATACAGAAATAAAGACTGCACAGAAGAAACTGAACACAGCAATTTCATCCTTGTAAAACTTCCAAACTTAACCATGAAAAACAACTACAGAATGAATTATTTTCAAGTTAATTTGCAATCACAAAGTAAGGCTTTAAAAATATCTTCTAGGGGGCACCTTGGTGGCTCAGTTGGTTAAGCATCTGACTCAGGTTTCAGCTCAGGCCCTTATCTCAGGGTTGTGAGATCAAGCCCCAGCCCAGTTCTGCGCTCAGTGGAGTGTCTGCTCGAGATTCTCTCTCTCTCCCTCTACCCCTCCACCCACTCACACGTTCTCTCTCTAAAATAAAATAAATCTATCTTTAAAAATTAATGAAAATAAAAATATCTTCTAAATTTCCAAAAGTGAAAATGTAGGAAAGTCATTATTCATTTAAAGCAGTACACTTTGTTTTCAATTCATTTGTATTCTGAGAACAAGACTAGATTCACCATTTTCAGGGAAGCTTATTAATTTATGATGTGTCTTTACATCTTACCTTGTTCCAAAATAACATAAGAAGTAATTACCATATTATTCTCTTAAATTTCACTACTCTTCCCTCTAACTTAGCAACTTGATCTTTCCTTATTTCCTAATACCTCCCTTCCTTATTCCAGCCAACCATTTACTTCTCCACCTCCCTTACAGTATCCTTTTAAAAAAGGAAAAGGCAAAGGAATAATTTTCTAATGAGGAAATGTCAAACTTATTACAACAGTGTATGTATGTTTTGGATAAGAAATTTTGGAGCAAAGAATTATGCCCCTAATATTTCTCAGATCATTAAATGAGAAAACCCCAGATTCTTTTTTAGTTATGTTATACAGATGTAATCTCATGAGAACAGTTCAGTGTATAGCTTATTCACTCACAGAGCTCATGGTCCTATGGTATCACAGGGTCTACTTATGCATAGAGAAAGCATTCATATTATTTAAGTAAATGACAATATTTTGAACTTACAAAACAAATACAACCAGAATGAACTCATAACCAAACCATGAAAAGACAGTTTTTCCCACTAAACAAGAACATTTAGGGGCGCATGGGTGGCTCAGTCGTTGAGCGTCTGCCTTCGGCTCAGGTCATGGTCCCGGGGTCCTGGGATGGAGCCCCGCATCGGGCTCCCTGCTCAGCGGGAGGCCTGCTTCTCCCTCCCCCACTCTCCCTGCTTGTGTTCCCTCTCTGGCTGTGTCTCTCTCTCTCAAATAAATAAAATCTTTAAAAAAAAAAAAAAAACATTTACTATAGGACTTCTTTAAGTGAGCTGACTCGGTGCATTTAAAATAGGACTCAATTGGGCGCCTGGGTGGCTCAGTTGGTTAAGCAACTGCCTTCGGCTCAGGTCATGATCCTGGAGTCCCCGGATCAAGTCCCACATCGGGCTCCCTGCTCAGCAGGGAGTCTGCTTCTCCCTCTGACCCTCTTCCCTCTCGTGCTCTCTATCTCTCATCCTCTCTCTCTCAAATAAATAAATAAAATCTTTACAAAAAATAAAAAATAAAATAAAATAAAATAGGACTCAATTTACACAACTGCAAGATACAATTTTGCCAGGCCACAATAATTATACAAATTACATAACTCCAAGGAAATTTTACATTTGTTCATGTTGCCTTCTCTAACTGCCCTTTTATATCCCATTTACTCAGGCAGATTACCCATACTCTCAATGCAAGGATATACACAGATTTTTCTTTTAGCCTCCAAAAGCTTTATGTAGGTATTACATGCTTATAAAATAATTTGGTTAAAAAAAGTGGTAAATCCAAAGTGAAAATTGATAGTCTCATACCACTACGGTAGGATAAATTCACCAATTTGTATCAAGTCAAGAATCTCATTCATACCTTTTAACCCAGTAGTACCCTTTAACAATCTATTCTAAAGGAATCTGAAACACAGCTAACTAATTACGTACAAGATGTTCATTGAACAGGATTCACAACAGGAAAACATCAGGAACACCTCAATATCAAAGAGGAAGTGATTAAATAAATCACAATAACACTGTAAACATTATGCATACTTATGGTTATGTTTTAATTTTTTAGGATGAAAATTATACAGTATTCTCAGAACTACATAAAAAGTATCTGCAAAGAAAACAGACAAACTAAATACCCCCAAATGTTAGCAGTTCTTGCATATAAATGAAAGGATAGGATGATTTCTTTCTATTTATAATTTTCCATTCCCTCCAAGTTTTCCACAATGAATATGCATTATTCTATAACAGGAAAAAGAAACAGCAAGAAATAACAGAGAGTCCAACTGACTAGTAGCAGCAGTCAAAAATTTTGGACTTTTAAGTCCTGGCTGTATGGATGTGAATGTCTGGGCTGAAGAATTAGAGAAAGAAAATACGGGAAGGGGAGAACAATCTTCCTTTCTAAGGCTTTCCTTCAGTTTTTCTAAAAAACCTGGAAAGCCTTTCCTCCCAAATATACCCACCAGCATCAACACCTTATCTTCACGTTATTTCTCTAAATCAGGGTTTTCTCAATTTTGGCACTATTGACATTTGGGGCCAGGAGGGGGCTGCTCTGTGCCTTGTAGGATGTAGAGCAGCATCCCCAAAGTCTACCCACTAAATAACCAGTAGCATCCTCAAACCAGTAGGGACAATGAAAAATGTTTCCAGATGCTGCCAAATCTCCCCCAGGGAGCAAAATCCCTCTAGTTGAGAATCACTGCTCTAAATATGCCAAATGTTAATTATCAAGCAAAAGAAATTACTGGAATTCCTTTGGATCTTTACTGAATATAAATCCTACCTAGGTTCAATCTTCTACAAAACACTCTACACATTCACCCCATATACAATAAAAAAAAGTTGAATTTTCCCATAAAGTCATTACTTTCAGAAGAACAGAAAATAGAAATTAACAGTTTTTCTATGAAATGATAAATAACAAAAAAAATATACAAGTTTAAAATTTGTATAGTACATATTAAATTTAAATTAGAAAAGACTAAGGAAAGTGTCCACAAAAAATATCCAAACATGGAACTATATGATGTCAAACATGCTTAGAACAAATGCGTAGGCAAAATATAAGTTAATAAGGCTGAACAAAATTAATATTTATAAAGTACCTATATGGCATATTTAATCTCATCCAATTTCTACTTTCAATTGTATAGTAGACCAGAAATTCTGAAAAGTCTCCTCTGCTAAAATATGAGAGATACTCTGTAAGTTACAAACCAAAATAAACAAAAAAAATCCTGTTAACATATTGTTGAGCTTTCTAAAAAGTAAAGGAAATCTCTAATGATCCCCTCCCAAAAGGAAAAAAAAGACAAAAAAAATTAAAAACTGAGCTGAAACCAGAAGAGTGATACATGTTATAACCAAAATTTAGTACTTCTCAGAAGGCAAATACCAACCAACAATAGTG